ATACAGTATTTTGATTCAGTTTCTCATAGAAGTAAATTAATCTGGTAGATTAAAATTTCATTTTCCCCATTTCTTCAGTGTATAAATGGATAAATATATTGGCTGAATGAATATAAGTAAATAAATAAACGTATAGATAAACATCCTCTATCTCTTCCTGGGGCTTATTTTGAACTTTCTGGAATTTGTTTCCAGCGCCCTTGCAGTGGGTGGGGATGCGTTGCAGGTTTTGCACAGCAAATGAAAACTCCAATAAATTACCAGGAACTGGTACAAAAGACCAACATGAGGCTGTGGAGACCTTCCAGCAAGGCCAGGGCACACAGTGAGGCAGGAATAGCAGAGGGCAGCCCAGCACGACGTTGAAGCATTGCACGAGTGTACCGACAGCGAGAGGAAAGCCTGATAAGGACCGACTCGGTTTTCAACACAAAGAGAAGCTTATAACAAATGAGGCAAGGGGTTTGTTTGTTTGCTTGTTTGTTTTGTGTGTCATTAATATTCCCTGCAGATTTTGACTTAGCAGTGGTGGAAGTGCTTCCGAAGCGTTTGTGGATCAGGCACGCCGATAAGCTCAGTTCTGCTCTGCCAGGTAATGTTGGTAGAGGAAAATCAAACACAGCACGTGGCAGCACGGTCTGTTACCCGTGGGATTGTGCTGGGAGGGCTGCTCCTGGTGGGCAGCCTTCTGTAGGGTGGATCAGCACTTCCCGTGGGGAAAAGGGCCTGGAAGCAGCCCGGATTTGACAATTTGACCCTCCTCTTGTTGCCGCGGCAGAGGGTCAAAGCTGTTCACTACTCAATCTTTTCAAGTCAGTGATCTTCACAATACTATCAAAAAGAAGCATAAAAGCTACTTGGGAAAGGTATTTTGCACAGTAAATCCTAAGTGATATTTTTTAAGACGTACTCTGTAAGGAAATTGCTTGCTACGCTCGTTTTAGCTTTTTAACACCGGTACAGACGGAGTAATTCATAATCAGCAGCAGCGTGCCTTTGCTGATTGTTGCCTCTTTTACCATGCACGCATTCTGAATATTTAAGAAATAGATTACGGTGATGCTTTTTTTTAATCCTCTAGATGCAGAGATTGTTATGTTTTTGTTCCGTGATTGAAATATATATATTTACATCGTGATGATTTTGGTCTGAAAACCTGGCATACAGGTTGGTATTTCAGTAACATGTTGGAATGGTTGGGTTTGCTTGCTGCACTCGTGAGGTGTCCTGTATTTCCTAGGAAGAAGGTAAAGAAGAAAATAGAAATGTGGTGGTATTACCATAGTATTGTTATCTGAAAAAAAAAAAAAAAAAGAAAAGTTGTGTTTGGGTTAAATAAATAGCAAAGCACTCAAGTAGAAATATTTCTACTTGAAATAAGGGATTAGAAAACCAAGTTGGATGACATACCTGGTACTAGAAAACTTTTGGCAAGATCTTTAGTTTCTTGGAAATATTCAGTGCTAGCAAAAACGTAAATTCAATTTTCTATGAAAAATTGGGTCAAATTGAACGTTTGCAGTATATCTGTTTGCTAAATATTCCTTCCATCTCTGGTGTTATGATACATGCTTAGTCCTGATTTTAGTATTTTACCATGCAGCTTGGTTTAGTTACAGAGCCAAACAGCGTGGCCCAGCTAGACTTCAGGTAAGGAAACCACAGAGAACTAGAACAGAACTCGTGGATTTCTCAGTAACAGATATGTGTGAACCATGGCTGCGATGTGATGTGATACTGGTTGGCTTTGAATAGAGCAGTGAGAGCAGAAAGGCTGGTTAGGAAATTCCTGATTAGTTTTATAATAAACTTCAGGACAGCGAAATCTCTTCACAATTTCATGTTGATGAAGCTTAGCAAACAACAGAACACGGAATCTTGTAAGGAAAAATAAGCTTTGCAGATGGAGCATCTAACTCCTGCTTTCAAGAAGGATGAGCAAAATTTTTCAGGCAGAGGTAAATTTGAGTCCCTGTAACTGGGACAGTGCAAATGAGCTGGGATTTCTAATGAATTTCCAGTGAATTTACAGTGGAGCATGACGTCCTCTGCAGCTGTCGTTGTTGTTTGGGCTGCAGCCTGGAACCCTTCACTGAAGATATTCTGCAGTGTTTTAGGGAGCACAGCTTTGGTAGTGGATTTACTATAAAGAGAGGCAGCAAATTTACTGTCATAATTATCGCTCTGCTAATAATACACTGATAAATCATTTTCACAACATGTTTTTTTCATAGACAATATGTTTTAATGAACAGTTTCTGATTTCTATAGATTAAAACTGTCACTAAGAAGTTTTTAGTCAAATCCAAAGAATTTCAGCAGAAAATCAAGTCAAGTCGGTATGTTGTCTGCTGCTTCAGCCACATTTCAGTTTGGGTGCCGTGTTCTCTGTTTCATGGGGAGGTGGAACTGACCTCCTGCCTTTTTTGAGGAATTTGTTCCTTTCCATTAATCCTGTGTTTTTCAGTGGAGGAGGGCACTGGCCAAGCTTCTTTCTGTGCTTCTCCATCATCTCTGCGGCCAGGCTGACTCATTTACACAGTCTGCTCCTGGCTGCTTTTGGGATAAATTGGTGCCCTCAGCCTGCAGCAACTGCAAAGAGGCAGAATTTATTTCCATAAACAAAATTTGCAGCTTGAGGGACCAGCTCTTCAAATGACAGCCTCTGCAGAGCCTCATCCTTTCTCCAGAAAGTGATGATATAGCAGACTTTAATTACCAGCCATTAATTCCGCGTATTTTATGTTCCTATTAGGTACAGCATAAATATTCCTCATGAAATGTTTCGAGAGGAGTTTATCAGCATGTACAACATCTATTGGTGTGCATCCGTGTACAGTGCAGGACGGGGAGGTTCCAAGCAGTGCTGGGTACAAGCAGTGTGGCTGCGGAGCGGTGCAGGATTGCTCGGAGAGGCAGCTGTAGGAACAGCAGGATTGGTTTTCCCATGCTTGCCTTCCTCCTGGTGGTATATCTGAATGGGTTTGGCTGTGAGGCATGTTCTCTAAATAAAATTCTGCCTAATAGGGAACATAAAGAGCAGCATAATCATTAGTTCCCTTCCCAAAGCCAGGTGAGAGGAATCAGCAATTCTGCTCAGACATGAAGAAGGTATTTATCTGGTACCGTGGTGAGCATGCACTTAGTGCTGGTGCCAGTGCCGCCGCCTGTTTGGCACCGGGGAGGATGCTGCCTACCCCAATACACGTTAACCACTGAGGCTGTCATCCTTAGGAAATCACGCTGGGCGCAGAGAGCTTCCGAATCGCCACTTAGGATGCCAGAGCAGCCCTGGATTGAAGCAGCCGTCTGATAGTAATTTCATCTCGCCTGTAATCACAGCGAAACCTAATTCATTTCTTCTTGTTGCAGCATATAAAAGTGCTGCTTCTGATCAGAGAGAAGGATGAAAATACATCAAATAATGCCGCTAACATGTTCTTTGCTCAAATGAAGCGTAAACTAGAACTGCAGAAACAAACCTTTTAGGAAATTTCTGGGAGATTCTTCTAGCAAGCACTGATGTCTGGTTTGCTCAGAAAAAAATCACTTTTCTCCTTAAGAAGTAGCTTAGTTTACTTTCTGTGCGTTGCTTTAGAAAAGGCTTTATTCTCCTCGCACTCTTTGTTGCAAAACCACCTGATTTAATTACTGTTCGGCTAGTGGAGCCTTCATAAGCGCCGGTCTTTGAGGACAGCAAGAATCCAAATTTTCAAAATACTTTTGCTGCTCAAGATGAAAAGTGGTGGCAGAAAATAAAAACAGGACTGCTGGATCCCTTCCCTAAGGCAGAAAGCTGATGTTGGACCCAGGGCTGTGTTTCGGGCACTCAGCCTGATGAAGCTCAGCGCTGTCACTGCTGCCCACGTGTGTCCCAGCCAAGCCCCGCTCTGTCGGGATGTAGCTGTGCTGCTGGGGCACGGAGAGCTTTGGGTTTTGTTATTCAGGAGAGCAGCAAGCGACAGTTATGCACTGCCGAAAAATTAATCAGGATTAATTATTCAGCCTGAGTCAAGAGGCTGATTTGTGATGTGAATGTAAAATTAGTCACAACTCCGGGTTTTTCCTTGTCCTGTTGGTTGATGTGACTTCTGCATAGTGGGTGGGGAAGCTGGGCTCTGCTGCTCAGCTGCACGTCGGGGTCGGAGGAGCACACAGATGATGCTTCTGTCATCCTTTTGGTGGCTGCTTGCCTCAGAGTAATGGTTATAAACGCTTGTGTGCTTGGGAAGTTTCCTTTCTTATTGCATACTGTCTTCTAAAGAAGTATTCTTTTATTTTATTCATTTTTTTTGTATGTGCGCTTGCATGAGGCTAGGATAACATCATTTTCATTAGAGTTCAAATGTTGTCACTGTGTTGTCATGTTTTTCTAAGTTAACAAGATGCAGACCTAATAATGAATTGACTGTACAAATACTGCTCAAAACCAATCTATAATTGTAACAAGGTTGGGATACTGTATTTTCCAGGATGATTTTGGGGGCAAGAAAATGAAATGGGGGGACAGGGGTTTTGGTTGGTTTTTGTTTTTTTAAAGGACAGGTTTATAATGTCATATGCCTGGCAGTTGGGACTAAATTAATAATAAAAGAAATTAGATTGACTTTAATTTACATGTTCTTCAAATACTTCCAGTAACTATAAAAGTGTTGTCCAAACCTTTTGTTTGCAGGATCTCTGAGAATATGATGCTGTGCGCTGTAATTCTAGTGTGTCTCTTGCGAATATTCATGTGCTGTCAGTGTGATTCCAACTAAAAGCTGGAAGTGCACAAATCTGTTTTTATCGTGTTAGAAAGGAAACAGATATCTTCAGATCCAGATAGGCGTAAAATCTCACAGTTTAACATACAGAAAATTCTGATGTGTTATTGTTATGTTTTTTATTTTTTTTAACATTCCTTCTCAAATGCCCAAACCTGTGGAGTCCCTGTTGGTACAGAATAAAACAGACACCCATGTATTAAAAGTTGGCCTTCTGCTATCTTGTATTGCCAGCTGTTATCTCTCGAAACCAAGAAGGACCAGGAGAGATGGGAAAGGCTGTGCTCATTCCTAAAGATGACCAGGAGAAAATGAAGGAGCTGTTTAAAATCAACCAGTTCAACCTTATGGCCAGTGACTTGATTGCTCTAAACAGAAGTTTGCCCGATGTGAGACTAGACGGGTGAGTGCCCAAGGTACTGTCCGACTCTTGGCACGGGGGGCCAACTAGCAAAGCCACGCCAGGCTTCTCCTCATTTCAAAGCCTCAGGTACAGCCTGGAAATCCCAAGTGGGTGCTAGGAGCAGTGCTTGCCTAAAGAAGCTGCTTGAAAATGCCAGGGTTTACCAGTTCAGCATTTGGCTTCTTATACACACATTCTCCGGAAAAGAGTTACTGCAATACTGCAACACAAATGTTGTGATCCTATGCAGTTTGTTTTGTGAATAGATGAAAATTGTTAGCTTACAGCAATCAATTTACATTGTGGTGCATAACAAAATGCTGGTTTGCACTTTTTTCCAAAGAAAACTTGTAAGATTTTAAAATAATACAAAATACCAAAGTCTACTTTGTAAATGTTCATAATTGTGCTATTGGCATTTGAAAAATGGCATTAAAAGTTGACAGCTTAACTCTGATAAGAGGGCACTAGCAATACTAGCAATTGGTGTACAGGAAGTAATTTTCTTTTAGTTCTGTCCATAGGCATTTCCGGAGTAATCACAATTTTAAAGAACCTTTTTCAAAATGTGCTGTTTTTCAAATATGAAGGTTTTAAAGTTTATTTGTTTGTTTATTAATTTAAGTTGCTTAACTTACAGCCATTGTTTTTGGGTGATGCTTGAAGTTTCCGTGTTGACTTTGAGACTGCGATACAAACAATACAAACTATAGTTATGAATACTGATGCCTGTTGTTGACTTGCCAACATGCATAAAACACCTCCTTTTGACAAGAGGTACTAAAAGCAAAATGCAGGAACCCAGATGCACTTAGGTGTCCTGTGTGTTTTCAGTTTGATGGGAATTAAAAGATCAGAGATCCTATATAGAAGCTACTGTCTGAGCAGGTGAGAAAGCTTGTGATCAGCTCTGCTGGCTGAAGGCTCGTGTGTTCACGGCTGGGTAGCCACCAGTTCTGCTGCACTGTCTTCTCTAGGCTCTCAGCTCTGCCTTAAAACAGTTCCCCGCATTCAAACCTGCTGGAGCTTGCACTGCTGGTAATGTAATGACCGATGCTCTGAATTCCTTAATATGTACTTGGGAACAGATTTATGCACATGAGCGTTTGCAGGGTTTTTGGAAGCTTTAACGCAAGCTACGTAGCACAAAAAAATCCTAAATATTTCCCCTTATTTTACAATATGGCATTTTAAGGATAATTTTGTATCCTATCATTCTAGTTGCTGCAGCTTGTAAGAAATGCAAACGTAGAGAAATATTAGCAGAGCTAAATGCATACAAGTTGCCAGGTCTTCTAAAGTCTCCCATTATTTTTAATTTTTAAGCTGAATTGTCACTTAGCTGAAATCCTTCTTATTATGCTTTGTTTCAAATTAAATTCCTCAGGTTCCCATCAAATTTAAAATCAAGTAAGTACCTTTTTCCCCCTGGATTTTGTTTGTAAGTGTATGCAGATAATAGAAGCATTACTTTAACAACAGACCTTGTTCACAAGCAACACAGACGATGCTTCTCCAGAGCATGATCATTTGTAATTTGTTGATGCCAATTTTCCATAAAGCAATACCTAAGACTACTGCCAGTAAAGATGTACTTCATGTAATGGGAGCATCAGAAAGGCTTTATTGCTTTTTGCTTGTTTGCTCTTCACTGCTTGCCCTTCAGAAGAGCGCTGAGTGCAGTCGTGATGAGCTGGTGGAGCTGGCTGTGGAGCTGAGGTGGTTCCAGCAGGCGCAGGGACCTCATGCAGTTCTGGGAAATGAGGGGGATGCGGTGTGCTGCTGGCCTGGCTTTTTCCTTACTCCTACCTGATTGTTTTCTTGTACCACGATGCTCTTGGCAGAGGGCTCACGTGCATTGAAACCACCCGAATAATGGTCAGGTCAGCACGACAGGATCCTCTCACTCGAGACCTGAAGCAAGAAACAGGAGCGAGTGTTGTGCACGCTGGAACGAGGACGGCAGAGCTTCTCGGTCTGCTTCGAGGAGCCTTTTCCTTTTCCTGTCAGCAGTATTGAAAGGAAAGCGAATTCTGAATAAACAAGGAAAGTGAATGCCCAGTCTAAGAGGGAGATGAGTTCCTTAATACTGAGAGAAATCAAAGTGCTTTTCTTTGATGAAAAGAAGTTTCGTATTCTATCTGCGTTGAAAAGACAAAGTGTTGCGGGGTTTGGAAAAAATAATAATTTTCATACTTTCCTCTTCTGACAGATGCTTTCTGTACATATTCTGTCTTTAAGGAGTATTAAATTGTTCTGAATCCCACCTCATAATGCTTTACTATTAAGGAAGAATATGATTTTATGGTTAATGCATTTAGTGTCTGTCAGAAAGACCTATTCTTGTTGGTGGGGGATGGAGGCATCCATCAGATTTGCGCTGGGTGTCTAACTTACCACACCTTTTACTTACAAAGACAAGCTTTTCTTCAGGAAGTTCTCTTTGACAAAATTAGATGAATAATAGATGCAGCGACCCTCGGTCCGGGGCCGGATTCATCTCAAGGTGCTGGAGAAGGGGTTGGGTGCCTCCTTCTCAGTGATGGCACTGCCAAGCACGAAGAAGACAAGCGTAGGCTCAAAGCAGAAAACGATGTGTCTGAATTCCCACACCCCCTCTTCAACAAAAACTGTGCACTCAGCTTGCACACAGGTCGTTTGATGACTGTGAGCTAATGCCGAATTTACACAGCACCCACAGTACTTGTGTTTGTAAAATGAGGGAAAAAATGTTAGATTTACTTAAAAATAATTAAAAAATCATCTCTCCCTTTCTCTCATCTCTTCATTCTCCCAACCAGGGATGTTTCTGAATAGACCTGATGTGAAGTCAATGAGAGCTTGCTTAGACTTCAGCAGGAATGAGGTCTCTCATCGGGAGATCACAAAATCCACCTGCTGTGTGCTGAAAAGAATGTGTATGCCTGAATTCCGCTCCATCCCTGCTTCTCTGTTGATATTTTAATTCCCTCTAATGAATGCGACTGTCACGCTAACTGTTTAACTTGCTGCCCATTACGCCTGGCGTAGCGCACCAAAGAGTGCCAGTCGATTGCCTGAGTTCTGCTGGTAATGGCCAACTTGAAGATTTTAATCAATGTCAGATCTAATTTGAACTAGCTATTGATTAAACCTTAAGAACAGTTTAATTCAACATAGAAATGTGTAATTTTGCTTCTGAGTGTATTCTGCAGAGAGAGAGGAAATCTATCCTTTATGAATGAATAGCTGCAAGTGCTATTCTACAAATTGCTAAACCATTATAATTGGACTTTCTTATCATGGAAATTTTGGTTTAAGTTAGCTGTTGTGCTGTGCGTGTGTGCTTATGAGCATATATTTTCTGATCAGAAACTCACATAAGAAAATTCTTTTACTTTTTTGCTCTGGAAAACCTCTTTTTTTAAAAACAAAAACAGACAGCTGTCTGGGGTGTGCAGAAATTGTTTATGCCAATTATCGATAACCACAACATTTTAGATTCTGTATAGAATCAAAACAGGGATGTAAGCTGTAACGAATACCTGCATCATCAATCTTTACATTATCTGAAAATCTTAGATTATCTTTGAAAACTTTGAGTAGGCTGTGGTTAGTTCTGACTGGCCTCGTTGACTTCATGTTATTGAAACCTCTGCATATTAAGGGACTTACCATAAAAATGTTTCTTGACTTCTGATGAAGGCAATAGAATCCATTATTCAATTTCAATAAAAATTCTTGATATTCTTAATAGGTAATATAGCTTTCTGAGCAATACGGTAAATGAATGTTTAGTATTTTTAGTTTGGTTAAAGAAACTGCATTTAAAATTATCCATCAGCTTGGGTTTCCAAAACAAAGGCTGCAGGGAAGCCTGGGAACAAGTAGTAATTTTCTGATGATTTTTTTTTTTAATGGTTCATCATACATTGTGAGGACTGAAAATGCTCAACTGTTGCTCTGACACTTTTTACAATGCAGAAATCGTGGTTATTTCTTGCTGGGTTATTTGGTTTGCCCCAACTCCCTGACAGCTCTGATGCAATTTACAGGTTGCTGGCGCTTCTTTCTGACATTTCACAATGGGAAGGGTGAGGAAGAACTTCAGATCTGATTTTCACAACTCTGGAGGGAAGATTCAATAGCAAATGCCTTAGGTGAATGTAGTTAACAAGGTCTTCTGTGACTGTGGTCTTTGTGAGATTATTTTTGGTATCTGGACCATTATGTGTATTGCTCTCACTGCACGTCCAGAAGGCCTCCTAGAAAGTGCATGGTATGAAATTTCAGAAGCAAAAGGAAATGCTTTCATTGCTGTTTTGCTCAGCCTCACCTTTTTCTCAACCCTAATTCTGGATTAAATGTGGTGCTATGGTTTTGTGTTGGCTCCTTCAAATCCAGAACCGTGATACACTGGTCATGGGGTGAGAAAACGGAGGCCCTGAAAGGAGTGGTGTAAAATAGCAATCACTGCCTGTGAGTATCTGTGAAAGTCCTTGGGTGCCTCCAACTCTCTGTTCCTGGGCAAGAAGCTTTGATTTGATTTTTTGGTAAGGCCACTATATGTTCTTCATCCGATTTAGCCCTGATAAGGGAGGGCACATCGTTGTGTTTTGTGATGTTCGCATCTAATCCATTTGTCTTGCACCATCAAGTGTTGCATTAGTGCTTTTCCCAGCTCTCCGTTGCCGTGGTTAAAGTACACGAGTTCCTTTAGTGCCAGGTTTTGTCTGCCCACTGCTCCATGTAATTAAAAGCTAATTTATGTTTTAAGATTTTACTGTGAGTATAAAGTTATGCATAGAGAAACTATAAACCACCCATGAACAAGAAAGGTCAGGGAGAAAGCATAATTAGTTTCAGCTAGAAATTATTTTTAGATGACGATTCAGCCATTATTCCACTTTGCCTACGTGGGGCAGGGAGGGGGGTGATTACCTGGGGAGACTGCCGGTGGGGAGGAGGGTACAAGCAGGTAAATCTGTACAAGATCGAAGGCAATTCCCAATGCATAAATT